GATTTTTTACCCTAAGGCAAGTTTTAATATGATCAAAGACCCTTATACACAATATTAAGCGACAAGAGATAAAGCCATGTCAGTGAAATTTTTTTTTTTCCAGTCACCAGCTGTGACCGTAACAAGCGAAAGGACATTGTTGATCATCAGTCCCACTCCTCATAACTGTACATTATAGGGCTACATCGCTTTGATCAAGTATAATTGCACTGTGTAGAAATTGCAAATTTTTTTTAAGATGCACCTTTTAACACTCTCATGTTAGCCACATCTGCATGCAGTGTCTTAAAGGAAAAACCTACAGTACATGTTTGTGTGTGTGTGTGTGTGTGTGTGTGTGCGTGCACGTTTTTGTGACATATGAAGACACAAATTTGTATAATGACATAGGTATGACATAGGTATTACAAGAAGAAGGTGACTTATGAGGACATTACCCCATGTCCCCATTTTTCAAAATGCTTATAAATCATACAGAGTGAGTTTTTTTGAGAAAGTAAAAATGCACAAAGTTTCCTGTAAGGGGTAGGGTTAGGTGTAGGGTTGGTGTAGGGCGATAGAAAATACAGTTTGTACAGTATAAAAACCATTACGCCTATGGAATGTCCCCACAATTCACAAAAACAAACGTGTGTGTGTGCATGTCCTAATGGGTATACTATTTGCACAATTTAGAGAGCACCATGTACCTATAGACTTTCCATTGCTTATCTTTTCTGTCATCAGATCTCATGTTAACTGAATCTCATCAAACTGTATCTTGTTATGTTGAGGTACAGTATCAGTGAATATTGTATCTCTGGCTAAGAGAATAGATGTCAGATTGTATTGTAATGAAAAGTCTAATTCACAGCCTTGAACTTGGAACATTAAATATCTTCTGATTGGCTGAGAATGTGTCATGTCACACAGTAGTCTCTCTTTCAGGGTGAACAAAGGACTTTTTGCTGGAAATGTGTTGCCTCTTTTCTGGATGGGACATGGTGTTAGAAAACTGATCACTTGATCACAGGATCACCCCTACATTCCCACATATTAACATCATTTAACATTGGTTTAACTACTTATCTTTTTAAGGGTGTGTTTTTTGCAATTTTTCTGCCAACAGTCAAGGTGTATATGATTACACCTTCCTCAGGTCATGATCAGAGAGCCGAGACCCCACAGTGCAGGAAACTGTATAATTGTTGCCAAGCACTGCACCTACAGACAAATGTTACATAGTAGCCCCAAGCACAAAGCTGTGATCATGCACACAGTGTTAGCATTGTTATCCCTTTTCTCCTTTTGTCTTCAGTGTTTTCATGGGTCCTCGTCCCTGGTGTAGGTGTTTGATGTGTGGGCTGTTCTTTAGTCTGAGCTGAGCCATTATGACAGGCAGGAGGGACTTAATAACAGTGCTTTCACCCTAAGCATGCTCCTGACAAATTACCTGTGTGAGACCTGGATTTAGAGAAGGGTCAGTGGAAAGATCACGCTCTCTCTCTCTCACACACACACACACACACACACAAGCACAGACAAACACACATTTCCTTTGTCTCCCTTGAAAAGGGAGTCTCTTCACTGGCCTCTGTCCCTTCACACTATCATGCAGACATAATAGATGCTTAATGTCTATTCAAAGTGTTTGATGTGTATGGGAGAATATTTCCATATTCCACATTTGGAGAGAAATAAAGAGAGAGGGGGATCTGTATATGTGTGATGTCACAAGCGTGCCTATTGGCAGAGCGGCTTTCTTAAAGGGATAATTCACCTAAAATGAAAATTCTATCATTATTTACTCACCCTTACCTTAACCTGTATGCAAAAGAATATTTTTTCACAGGTTTTTTGACTATACAGTGACAGTTCATAGCAATCATGTCAATGTCAATGTCTAAAAAGGACAAAAAGCACCATAAAAGCATTCCTTATATATAATTCATATGCTATATTTCAATACTTTTGAAGTCACTCAATAGTTTTGTGCAAGGACAAAAATGAATTGTAAAGGCATAGTTCACCCAAAAATGAAATAGCTGTCATAATTTACTAACCCTCATGTTGTTCCAAAGCTGTATGATGAGTTTCTTTCTTTAAAAACTCCTAAAAGAAACCTAAAAGAAGATATTTTGAGTAATGTCTCAAGTGTTTTTTGTCAATGGTCAACTCAAAATATCTTCTTTTATGTTCCACAAAAGAAAAGTCAGGTTTGGAACAACATGAGGGCAAGCAAATGAATTCAGAATTCATTTAAGAGTTAATATCCACTCCATTGTTATGTTCACTTAAAAACCACTGAGACTAGATTGAATCACTGAGTTGAACTTGAGTATTGGACAGATTTGTGAATGAATCGTGTTTTTTTGTTTTGTTTTCTTTTGTTTTTTTTAAACCAGTTTTATGAACCGGATCTGCTGGTTTAAAAGAAACTATACACGTTTCCATTTAGAACGACTTCAGAAAGATTAAATGATGACAGACTTGTGCACTATGCCTTTAATCTGTGCCACTGTCTCTTGACCCCACTGTCTGTTGAGGACTCTCACTAAAACAAGCTTCTCTTGTAGGGAATCCTATTTTTCTTTCTCTCTCTGAGAGGTGCATCAAAATTCTAAGCCAGAATGCAAACCCAAGCAGGTCTCGGTTGTTTCAGAAGAAGCTTTCAGCATTCAAACAGCGCTCCACAATTCTCCCCCTCGGCTTTGTGCAGTTGAGTATTGAAAATTTGCCGTTGCCGCAGTCAGTTTTCTTCAAGTCTGTCTTTTGTTCCAGTGGCTGAGCTCAGGTGCACAGAACAGACCTCTCTCACTCTCTCCCCCTCTTCATCTCTCTATGCTTCTCATTTTCCCGCTCAGCACTGACTGGATATCAAACCTGCCAATTTGCATATGAAATTGGGTGGAAAGCAAAATTAGTAGAGGTGCATTGAGTAAAAGCAGTGACACACATGTACACACAGACATGTTTGTCTCTTTCGCTGGCTGTTCTGTTTACAAAGTTCCACTGCACCGAAAGACTCAGCGGAGTGTTTGAATTAGCGACTCGTTCAGAGCTTTGTTGCGTGATGAATATTACTGCTGTTCATTAGCATGAGTAATTAGGTCAATACGATCACGTGGTCTATTTCATGAATGCTGTGTAAAGGTGAAGCATTTAAACATGGCACTTTCAGAGGAATGTTGAGACAAGCGGTATGATTGTTCTCTCATGTTTCTACATAAAGTTGTCCGCATTGTCTTTCATCCAATCATGAGTAGGCATACAAAGCTTGATTCTTCTTAAAAGACACTATGTGACTTGCCTATTGTGAGAGAGGATCCAGTTGGAGATCTTTTAGTAGATTATCTTATAGCCGATTACATGACCTACAGACAATTGCTAAAACCTCATTCTGAAGTGGCAGTCAGACATCATCGCAGATTGGTGATTACGCTCTTAAAGCGCCATTAGCCACCACATTCTGCCCCATGTTGTTTTACCGGCCTCTGTAGCCTCTTCCAGCCCTGCCAGCTCGCCATACTCCTCTGGGACAACCGCAGGATGTTGTTTGATGGCTTTTATCCACAGACCACAAAGGGGGCTCTGTGCTAAACTCTGCGAGTTATTGCTTTAAGAGGGAAGTTTTACAGAGAGGAGATTCTTTCCTTTTTCCCCTGGAGTCTTTGTTTTGGGATGGATAACTTGTTTCACAGAGATCCCTTTGAGAGTCTCTCTGTTTGGCAGTCCCCTTGAGGATCCCTGCTTGTTTTTTCACTGCGCATTTGGTTGAACAACAGCGCCACGTAAAGGTAGTTAGCGGAACTGCATATTACTATAAAGTTCAGTTTATTTGATAAATTCACACAACTCTGGGTCATTCAGAGGCATAGACTTTATTCCGTTTTTTTTCTGACTAAGTGATTGGCTTTGGTTTTGCCTTTATGTTTCCTCTTTATCTTTTATTTGTAGCCTACATGTATTTTTTTTATGTGTTGGGCAACAAAAACACAACAGAGACATTAGTGCACTTTAGCTGAAGGCCCCATGTGGGTTAAATTGTGCGTGTGTCTGAGTGTAATATAAAGTAGTTCACAACTTTACGGAACTTTATATATATATATATATATATGGAGGCACCTTAAATATTGCACAAAAGATATTGCACAAAAAATATTTTATATTGCACATACAAAAATAAAATATTGCACATTCCTTTATTAAAATATTAAATATTAATATAAAATATTTATTATAAAATATATTTGTGCAATATTTAAATATTGCACAAAAATACTTTATATTGCGCATATAAAATAAAATTTAAGATACTTTAATAAAAGGTTTCACTCAGTAAACAATGCTTTACTGTCTAATATGTGTAAACTAACGAACATACATCTTGGCATGCAGTCACTGAAGACCAGGGGCGTCAGACTGGGGGTAAAACCAGTACTGATTACCAGGGCCCCAAAGGAAGAGAGGGCCCTTGAAAAGTATGGAATATATTTTATTTTACCTGGATATTTTCGTTTCCTAATTAAATTTCATAATGAATGTCAGATGAAACGTAAATTTTGTGTATTGGCTGAATAACTTGGTTGATTGACTGACGGTTTCATGATCCCACCCCCCTTGCACACTCCTTTTCCATCCATCTGAGGAAGACAAACTTTTGGCTTACAGCAAGGAGGCGAAGGTCAGTGATGAAAGTGTGGGCCAACACAGATTAATGCAGTCGAGTAAATGACTATTAATGACACCAATTGAAGTCAGTGTTTTTTTGGCAGCTCCAAACCGGTTGCTCACAAGATCATAATGTGTCTTAATTCCAGCTGCATGTTTGTAGCTTTTCTTGTCAGGCTCAACTGCCTGAATTAGTCTTTGTAGCTTTTTCAGTATTAATGATTTAGGTCTCGGCTGAACACCTTGACCAACTGTTCTCAACACATTTCTCACCCAGCTTTGTTTATTGCTCTGCTTTTTGCTCCCGGGATCTTGTGCAACGCCCCTGCTGAAGACATTGTGTGTTTTAGGTGATCTTGGTGAGCTCCAGCATCAGTGAACGTGACCAGATGCTCTTCATCAGCACAGATGAGGGTTCATCCTTCCAACGGCAGCCTGTCTCCTTCACCGTGGATACACTCCTCTTCCATCCATCTGAGGAAGACAAACTTTTGGCTTACAGCAAGGAGGCGAAGGTCAGTGATGAAAGTGTGGGCCAACACAGATTAATGCAGTCGAGTAAATGACTATTAATGACACCAATTGAAGTTTTTTTGGCAGCTCCAAACCGGTTGCTCACAAGATCATAATGTGTCTTAATTCCAGCTGCATGTTTGTAGCTTTTCTTGTCAGGCTCAACTGCCTGAATTAGTCTTTGTAGCTTTTTCAGTATTAATGATTTAGGTCTCGGCTGAACACCTTGACCAACTGTTCTCAACACATTTCTCACCCAGCTTTGTTTATTGCTCTGCTTTTTGCTCTCTAGCATATTGGCATCCTCATTATTAGAGTTATGAGCAGCACTGTTTGGCCTTCGGGCTATGGTTGTCTCTCGCTAAAGAGCATGTTTACATTGTTAACGGCTGGGTGAGCAACGAGGCAAGATCTGTGTGTGTGTGCGTGAGTGTTTATGTGCAGTTGATGAATTGCTAAAACCCCTAGACACTGCTTGCAACACACTGCATTTATCATCTCTGAGATTAAATGGAAAAGACAATGAAAAGTGTGTATTTGTCTGTGTGTGCTGTTATGGTGCAGTTTGATGGGTATTTTCCATGCAAGTGGTGATCAATATATTCTCATTATAGGAATGATCAATTGGGGACAGATGCACACGCGCACACACACACACACACACACACACACACAATCATACTTAACATAAGTGATTTTAATTGGTATATATGGACAGTTTCCCACAACCTAATCGCTATATACAGTATACAATGAATCGCTCATCTAATTCTCATGATCCTGAGAATTTGAAAAAGTGTGTTTTACTCTAATCCAGTTTAAAAATCAATGTTATGACCATTGCTTCAAGCATCCAGTGGCAGTAAATAGTGATTTATTTGTCTTTCTTTATTTTTCAGCTGTATATCTCCACCGATCTGGGTCACAAATGGACTCTGCTACAGGAGCGTGTTACTAAAGACAGAGTTTTCTGGTGATTTCAGGGGCGTCAGACTGGGGGTAAAACCAGTACTGATTACCAGGGCCCCAAAGGAAGAGAGGGTCCTTGAAAGGTATGGAATATATTTTATTTTACCTGGATATTTTCATTTCCTAATTAAATTTCATAATGAATGTCAGATGAAACGTAAATTTTGTGTATTGGCTGAATAACTTGGTTGATTGACTGACGGTTTCATGATCCCACCCCCCTTGCTAATGCGCCAAATGGTTTAGTCCATCTGCACGCAGTTTGTTTATGTTAGTTGAGCATCTGGTGGAGCGCTGTAGAAATGTCTTTCTCAAAGAAAGCCAAATCAGGCCACCAAAAAAGAAAGGAAAGACAGGAGAAGTTAAGAAAACAAAATGAGGGGAAACAATTGGTTACTGACTTCTTTTCAAAGAAAGGTGAGCACAAACTAGAACACGAAATTTATAGTGCTAAACTGCTTGAATATCCCCGCGAATCCGCGATCGTTAGTGCTAAAAATGAACTGAGACAACCCATTGAAAGAGCAGAACATACACTTTCAGATGGCAATTTGGTTATACATGTAAATCTCAGGTAAAGGCTACATAAATAAACTGTACACTAACAATGCTGTTTGCATACAACACACCATTATAATAGCGTAATTTTGAAACATGTTTAATTTTAAATTAATAGGCTATAATATCTAAAATTAGCAATAGTAGGCTAATCAGTGTCATAGGTAGCTTGTTAGCTCATCGGTAGCTACAGGTGAAACTCGAACAATTAGAATATTGTGCAAAAGTTCATTTATTTCAGTAATTCTAATATATAATATAGTTAATATATTAATATATTGGTATAATGGTATAACTAATATATTATATAGACTCATTACATGCAAAGTGAGATATTTCAAGCCTTTATTTGTTTTAATGTTGATGATTATTTATGGCTTACAGCTTATGAAAACCCCAAATTCAAAATTTTGCCTTTTTTCTCCAGATAGTGAATAACTTGGTTGATTGCACTGACTAGTGACACAGGTTTGTTTGTCTTTTATTATGAATGGAGCTTTTTGTTAATGTACAAAACTAAAACGGCATGTTTAAGATTTAATTTATGCCTTGAAGTAATGTAGCGTAATAAAAATAAATGTTCTCTCAATTAAAATTGAGACTATATACCAGACTATGATAAGAAAGTCTGAGATGATGACTTAAGCACGTATGGCATTAATATTAGGCTACCTTCAGTGGCATTTACTGAGAACACTCCAATGTCATATAAGCTATCTGTTCCCTTTGTCTTGTTCATTCTGCAAATAAAATATGACTGAATCAAGTCTTGTTTGGTTATCATACAGTACGCAGTTTGTTCATGTAGGGTAGGGATTAAAAAACTAAAATAGTATGGGGGGGGGGCATGGGGGCCCATCAGGACTGCCTATGCATAGGGCCCGGGATCTTGTGCAACGCCCCTGCTGAAGACATTGTGTGTTTTAGGTGATCTTGGTGAGCTCCAGCATCAGTGAACGTGACCAGATGCTCTTCATCAGCACAGATGAGGGTTCATCCTTCCAACGGCAGCCTGTCTCCTTCACCGTGGATACACTCCTTTTCCATCCATCTGAGGAAGACAAACTTTTGGCTTACAGCAAGGAGGCGAAGGTCAGTGATGAAAGTGTGGGCCAACACAGATTAATGCAGTCGAGTAAATGACTATTAATAACACAAATTGAAGTTTTTTTGGCAGCTCCAAACCGGTTGCTCACAAGATCATAATGTGTCTTAATTCCAGCTGCATGTTTGTAGCTTTTCTTGTCAGGCTCAACTGCCTGAATTAGTCTTTGTAGCTTTTTCAGTATTAATGATTTAGGTCTCGGCTGAACACCTTGACCAACTGTTCTCAACACATTTCTCACCCAGCTTTGTTTATTGCTCTGCTTTTTGCTCTCTAGCATATTGGCATCCTCATTATTAGAGTTATGAGCAGCACTGTTTGGCCTTCAGGCCATGGTTGTCTCTCGCTAAAGAGCATGTTTACATTGTTAACGGCTGAGCGAGCAACGAGGCAAGATCTGTGTGTGTGTGTGTGTGTTTGCGCGTGTGTGTTTATGTGCGGTTGATGAATTGCTAAAACCCCTAGACACTGCTTGCAATACGCTGCATTTATCATCTCTGAGTTTAAATGGGAAAGACAATGAAAAGTGTGTATTTGTCTGTGTGTATTGTTATGGTGCAGTTTGGTGGGTATTTTCTATGCAAGTGGTGATCAATATAATCTCTTTATAGGGATAATCAATTGGGTACAGATGCATACACACAAACACACACTCAACATATGTGATTTTAATTGGTATATATGGACAGTTTTCCACAACCTAATCGTTATACAGTATGCAAGGAATCGCTCATCTAATTCTCATGATCCTGAGAATTTGCAAAGTGTGCTTTAATCTAATCCAGCCTAAAAATCAATGTTATGACCAGTGCTTCAAGCATCCAGTGACAGTAAATAGTGATTTATTCGTCTTTCTTTGTTTTTCAGCTGTATATCTCCACCGATCTGGGTCACAAATGGACTCTGCTACAGGAGCGTGTTACTAAAGACAGAGTTTTCTGGTGATTTCTTTTTTTCTAAATTCATCCTACAATACTTAAAGGAACCTCATGTTGTTTCAAACCTGTATGACTTTCTTCTGTGGAAACAAAATCTACTGTGGGGATGAGGGGCTGTAAAGCTTCACACAAAAAAAACATTTCAAAGGTGGTCTGTAAGAGAGTAAAGATGACTAAAATATGAGCTGTTATTCACTTAAAATGTTGATTGGCGACCATGGTCATCATTTACTTTAATTGGAAAACAGCAGCATTGACATTCTGCTAAAAATAACTTCTTTTGTATTCCACAGAAGAAAGTAAGTCTGGGTGTAAGTACTGGTTTGTTTTACTTTACATTGCCCTCTGAGACTTTCTTTTTAATCTTTTCCCCCTCTCCGTTCCCTCCTTCTCTTCTTCCACCTTCTTAGTGGAATTCAACCCCTTCTTTTATTTTCCATTCCTTCGCTCCCTGGTTATGGTTCACTGCTATCACAGCTGGGATTGAAATCCTGTACAGAAGTGATTTATTTCTCCACCCCAACCAGTCTTTCTGTCTGACCCTCTCTTTTTCTTTTTTGATCTCTCTTTCCTGATCTTTTGCTCCCTTCTGCTTGCGTGCCATCCTCCCAGTGCACTTTACCAGATTCACAACACGCGAGATACAATTCTGTATAGTTTGTCTGTGGTTGATTGGGATAAAAGATGAAAAAGTCAGCTCCCTGTCAGCATCTGCCATAATAAACCCCATCCAGCACATGTTTTATTTGGCTGGAGGTTTTACAATGACACTGTAAATCTGAAGCTGTTTTTACTCGATTCCTCAGCAGCAGGGGGTTGATAAGGGTCGTACCCCTTCCCTCTCTACTGTCTCCAAACCTCTTTAAAACATCTCAGAGAATTGCCTCAGAAGACGTGACAGAATCAGTTCATAGTGAGGGTTGTGGCTCTCTCGTCCTCCCCGTCTGCTTCCTTGCTCATAAAACAAAAGAAGGGGAGGTCTGGGAGGAGAGAGCATAAATCAGCGTGACTTTAATGGACAGGGATGCTGTCTGGGAGGGTGGTCCGTACCGTGTGGTCAGGAGAGGAGTCTTGAGCTCATTGCAACTTATTATGTGATGTTGAGACATGACGGTCAAGTAATTCGCTATAAATCAATGTAGAGCAAGATTATGTAGCTATTATGCTGCTGTAAATATTTACATGTCATAAAGCATTGATTTAGAAATATCACAGGCATTTAGAACAATTATCTCCAGCTGAAATGCTGAAAAGCACGCTGTCAGATATAGACATTAAAACGCATGTTTTTCCCCCCAAACTAGTTAAGCACAAACCTCGCCCAGCAGCCGATTCTAAAGATTTCATTGATCTTGTCAATCAAAGTCCTGATTGCCCACACAGAGCTGAAACAACAACGAACCCCCAACCTAAACCCAAATCTTAACCATTAGCAGGACATCCCATTCCTAACAGATCGGATTCATCAGTGTAATTGGTTCCACTTTATTTTATGTGGCCTTAACTACTAGGTACTTATGTCAAAAAATAAGTACAATGTACTTATTGTGTTCATATTGTATTGCAAAACACTTCTGCTGCTATTGAGGTGGGATACGGGTAAGGTTAGGGACAGGTTTGGTGGTATGGGTAGGTTTAAGGGTGGGTTGAGGTGTAAGGGATGGGTCAGCAGTGTAATTTTAAATATAATTACATAAATTAATTACAGATGTAATTACATGCATGTATTTTTTAAATATTACATATTAATAATATATTAATAGTACAATGTAAAAACATGTATGTAGACAATAAGTGCATTGTATTAATGATTAATTTAAATGGAAGCGCATAATAGTTAAGGCCCCCTAATATAAAGTGGGACAGTGTAATTTCTGAACTCTGAATGAAATGCCTTAAGTCTGAACTTTTTGTGACAGTTAACTGAGTGATTGAGTTGACCAATAAAAACTGCTGTGGAAGGAATTTGGAACTTAACTGGTTTGGGGAAAAATCATGCAAAACAACACACATTCTTAAAAGGTTCTGTTAATTTCCTGCTTGTTAAAATGCTTGTAAAATAATGTAGGTTTTGTGCAGGTTTACTGAGCTAGAACTTCCCTGAGCAGTTTAGTAACCTCCAAACAATTGTGTTTAACACAACTAGACAAAAGACAGCAAGCTGTCTGCATTCCTTGAAACCAAGGACTTTCTATGTGTCTGTATGGTTGAGAAGGTTCTGCTAATGGGATGTTTTAAAGGGATAGTTACTCCAAAAATGACATCCATTCTGTCATTTATTTACCCACAATTATTTCACTTTTTTCTTCTGTGGAACAGAAAATGTGAAATTCTGAAAAGTGTCACTGTTTTTGTGTGTGATTACAAGCATTAACTCTTGAAAGCTTTCCATTTTTTGTTAAATCAAGTCATTGGAACAACATGAAGGTGAGCAGATGCAGAAAGAATTGCAATTTTGGAGGAGTGAACTATCCCTTTAAGATGTCCTTCTGTGTGTGAGTCGTTCTTGTTTGATCCTCTCAATGTGTTGCTAAACTGTATGCTTTGTTTAAGGGCCGTGACGGGGGTGGATGTGGATCCTGATTTGGTTCATATGGAGATTCAAGACATCGGTGGTGGTAAGGGAGCTCATGTGTTTATAGAACAGTGCATTTCAATTCAATTTTACATACTGTATCAAACCACTGCGAACAAACCTCTTTCAGAGAAATTCCTCCTGGCTGAGCTGTTTTGTAAGGCTTGTGTGTTTGTGTGTGTGAAAGAGACCAGGCGTACAGATGCAAACTGTTGCACAGAGCTCTATCACACTCAAGCCAGTGAAGGTTAAACGTTGCCTGACAGTCACATTGCAACCTACAAACACATACACTCAACCCCTAAGGGAGGTGAGAGATGTGTCTAACTAGTATAAAAATCACACTGGACACACAAATCAAGCCCTTCTTCTGATAAATGAACTTTCAGTTGTGGTTTATCTGTTGGGCTTGTGTCACACTGACAGATGCAGACCTCAAGTGTTTTTTCTTCAGCTCAGTGGCTCCTTCAACCTCTCATAGGATGTGTGTGTGTGTGTGTGTGTGTGTGCACGTCTGACCTTGTGTGACAGAAGACAGAAGCAAAGCGCTCAGCCATTCTAATTGCTTTTTAATGAATTTCTCTGCTGTACTGCTTTGATTAACCATTCGTCCTCTTCAGTGAAGTAGTCTGCCCATTTGTTTGCCTAAAATTAATAACAAAAAATAAAACCACAGAGAATGAGAGGAAACAACATTATGAGAATAGCAATTAAGTTCCCCACTTTGATATGTAATTTTTGGCCATGATTTTTGGAGTATGCATTCTCCTCTAATATTTTCATCATTTTCCAATTGGTTGTCATTTTTTATGCACGTTTGGAGAATTGATGAGTGTGTGTGTGTGTGTGTGTGTGTGTGTGTTTTGTAGAGGTTGCTGAGCCAGCTATTGTGTGAGATTCTAAACAGAAAGGCCATTGCTACAGGGCACCTCGGCACTGTTTTCCCATAATTAATTTCCTGCCATTCTGGAGCAAAGCAATGTGCCCAGTGAGGATCAGCTTCAGCTAATTTTGTTAAGAGCTCCATGTGTTTTTTTTGTTGCAGATATCTTTCACTCCATTCACCTTTGGAATGGCTTCCAAACACTCACTTACAAAAGCTGTATGATCAGACATAGAAATGAAATTCCTTTCAAAGTTTTGAAAGTCAAATTGTTACCTTCACTTTTCCTCTAACCCTTTTATGTGTGTGTTTTCTGTCTTTCACCAGGATACCTTTATGTTACATGTCTCATACAAAATTGCTCTGATAAAATGGTGACAGCACAGTTCTTGGGGAAGATTGACCACAATTCCCTCTCAGTGCAAGATGAATACATATTTGTGAAGGTAAAATGATGTGGTGCATATCTTTACATATGATGTATGTACATATTTATTCAGACAGATCCATTCAGACATTAGAGAGTTTAGCAGATTATCACCTTATATATTATATATTATATACACATTATACACTAACATCAAAAATTCAAGGTCAGTAAGTTTTTTTTAACGTTGTCCCTTATGCTCACCAAATCTGTAGTTATCAAAAATAAATCAATATTGTGAAATATTATTACAATATCATTACAATTACCATTTTAATATATTTTAAAAATTTACTCAAGGTCTTCAGTGATGCATGATGTTTTATTCCAATATGCTGATTTGATGTTCAAGAAACGTTTCTTATTATCATCAATTTTGAAAATTTTGCTGCTTAGTATTTTTGTAGAAATATATTGTTCAGGATTCTTTGAATATTTTTGATGAAAATTCAAAGTAACAGCTTTTATTTGATATACAATATAAATTGCTTTACTGTCACTTCTGATAAACACAATGCTTTACTGGCACTTTTAACCAGGTAAAATAAACCCTGGTCAGGGTCTTGTATTTCCTTAAAAGGGTTTATTTTGTGATAATGATCGTCTGAATGCACATCATGTCACTTATTACAAGACTGCTTGCCAGGTAAATAAATGGACTTTGAGTTTTTATTAACTAACACAGCTATATACTGTAGGGAATCTGTTGCCAGGGACAACAGTCAGTTACACAGTTTAATAATTCAAAAATAATAATGATTCATAATACAAAAATAACTGTATGTTATGATTGACCAATCAGAATCAAGTATAGCGAGGACCATGCTCCTGCAGGTCTCTAGGTGTTTAACCAACATTAAAAGCATGACCATCAGTTAACCTTGTTACTTTGGTTGATATAAAAAAAAAAAAAACTGATAAGTGAGACCTGTTAGTCCTCGTGGCCAGTTCACAGCTCAGTGAATGCTTTTAGAAGTGCAGTCCTGGGATTTTCTTTAACAGCGTGACAGTCCATTTTCACATGTAAAGGCTGATGACGTCTCTCATCTCCAAAGCAAATACTGCCACAGCTTAGCATTTTAGATGCTGGGATATTTTCAGGCTTTTATTTTGCTTTTGAGGAAAATTTCTCACATTAGGGTACTGAAGTGAACAATAGGCCCAATTAAGATGCAATGTAAGAATTGATACGTTTGTTTACACATTGCTTGTCAGGATATAGGCCTACATAATATACATACACACATATATATATATATATATATATATATACAGTGGGTACGGAAAGTATTCAGACCCCCTTAAATTTTTCACTCTTTGTTATATTGCAGCCATTTGCTAAAATCATTTAAGTTAATTTGAGCTTGTACCCTTCATCTTTGTGCCTAAATTAATGCGACCCACTTTCACTTTATCGGGAAGAGCAACATGGTGACAAACTCCCCCGTCCTGACCCAGTCATTGCCACAGCGCCCGGCTGTATGCATCTAAGCTACCAAAACTGAGGAGCTTAATGTTGATTCGGTATTCTTTTAAGGCAAATCAGAAGAGCTAATTATAGGATGGATTCATTAATTGTTCATGCTTTCATTTCATCTAAATCTGTCCCTACACAGTTCATGTTCCAACTCAGTTCTTCACAGCAGCTCAAAATAAACTTTTCATTTCAAAGCAACTAAATATAATCATCATGGATTCATATGCAGCTCTTTTTTGTGGTGGTTTTATGTAAGCACAAGTGAAAGCGTTCAGCTTTTCTGTCTCTCTTCACACAAAGACACAAGCCCGAACTAATTATGATGTTAATTATTTGTACCTGCTGAGAAAACTGAAACTGTCATATGCATTGAACTTATTTCACTTTTATCTTTACATGAGGTTCTAATCTTCTTGTGTGGTAAGACACCCGGTTCAAGAACCCAGAAGAGAGCAGGAGTGTGTGAGAGAGGTGGGGTTGGCTGATGTTGTGCCCATATTTTCCACAGTGAATAATTGAAAACCTTTTGAAAAATGCAAAACCCAATTCCAGTATGCAGTCTCAGATCTCTCCTGAAGTTCCTTTCTTTACGTTATGGATTAATCATGGTCCATGGCTCCAGTGGGACGAATTGTTTGTTGTAACACACCTAGGGTACTAAATGGCTAAGTGCCACTTCTCTTTCTTTCTTTTTTCCCTTTCAACCTTTGTCTTTCTGATTTCAAAGCTCTTCTCAACTGATTTTTGTTTGTTTATTGTTTTAGAAATTTGCATGAAGTAAAGCTTGCTATATCTGAAGAACTAAAGATGAAGAAAATGAATAAGCTGCTTTTTATTAAAAAGGGGGGAGTGTTCACCCATAAAATGAATATTGTATCATCATTTACTCACCGTCATGTAGTTCCAAACCTGCATGTCTTGATACCTGAGGAACACAGAAAGGTTGATTAAATGATGCCAGAATTTTCAGTTTTGGGTTGGCTGTCCCTTTAAAGAAAAAGTGTGCCAGTCTGTTTTAGGAGTGAATCAGCCCATCTTAAATGAACAAATAACATTATCGTGTCAAATTTCTGTAGACACATTTCAATCAACTTGATCTCCAATCATTAAGTGCACTTGAGAAACGCTATTCTGAAAAAATTTACTTTGTAACGCATCTGTAATTTTTCAAGCCTGCTTTAAATGTTTCAGCTTAGATAAATGTTGGTATTTTAATCCAACTGCAATCGCCCCTGAACCACACAAAATCACTTAAAAAGGCCCACTGTTCTTTTACTTGAAGCAGACTGGTGAATAGAAACAATACTATTGATTTTGGCCAATTAAGACCTGTTTCTCCGCTTCAAGAATGAAACCGCATGACCAGAATTCAAATGCACCACTATTGGAGCACAATGAATCCACCAGACACAGAGAAAAAGCAAAAACTTCTGCTGTGTTAATAATAATATGCCATTTCATTTCTTTCTTTCTTTTTTTCTATACAGATTTCCTGTCTTTCCATCCATCCATTCGTACTGTTACCTATCCCATCCTTCTTAGACACTCAGTCAGCCTGCTGATAATGCACTCAGGGATTGTGGCTGTAGGCAGAGACACAAATGTTCTGCAGCTGTGTCATGGCTGATAGGGGTCCTGTGCCTGCTGTCAGAGACAGATGGATAGTGCTGTCTTAAGTTCTGATAGTGCTGTTATCAGTAATGGGGACCTGAGTGTCCTGTCACACAGTATGATAGACAAAGACAGGACCTATCCAGCCAGTAGAATGTAAGACTTAAAAAGAAAACGCAAGTGCTTCACCTATAGCTTCCTGTTCTAATCCTCTTACTCTGTTGTTCTTGTTGCTGTTTGTGTGCTTGTTTAGATGATCTTATAATCCACGTTTAAAACTTCCACTCTCTCCAGGGGAACTTTCAGCAGCTGTGTTTCACAGCGATGACTTCATTGTCTTGTGTAAGCCTTGGTGGGAAGATGACCTCATCGTTAAAATTTTAATGCACAACTAACTAAAAGATGATGAGCTGTTCATATTTGACCTCAAATCAACAGCCAAGAATTACATTGCAGCTCTAGACAAGAGGCGTGTTCAGTACCATATCCAAATCTGATCGAAAAATTACATAGCAAACGTGGAAGCAATCAATCAGCTATTACGATTTGTGATTGCTTGTCTCCAGATGTCATCATGAACCTCCTGACAACTAAGGATGGTAAAAGGGTAAATTCGATTTGAAATAATGTCTGTAAAAGCCATGTACACATTTGCAGTCCCCTCAATATAAGAGCTTCTCTGAAATTAAATATTTGCATTCATTTCATCAGAATAGTCTAAGCCTTCTGGGGAAATTGGTACTTTTCAGAAGTGTTTGTGTGTGGATATAGAAAGATATTTTAGGAAGGAAGAGAACACAGGGATGAAACAGGATTAGAAGTCTCTATAACAGTGAGTTGGAAGAGTTGTTCATGAAGTTTTTTTTTAGACTTTCTTTAAGCCAAGACTTTCCAAGTTGGGTCATTGATCATAATAAGCTGGAATTGTGAATGTTGATGGTACCATTTAGTTTGCATGCATTTTGTGTTTTGATGAAAAATAGTGATAAATCTTGCCAGAAAACAACTCATTTAGGCGGGTTATGAGGAGACAGACCAGACCACATTTTCCGTCATGCTCTGTGGCACCACAAGAATTATAAAATAGACAGATGCAGCGTCAGTTATACAACTAATGTGCATCATTATGTTGCATTAGAAAAGCCTCCTGTCTTTTTGGGAAGTGAAAAAGACAGAGAAATATGAAATTGTCTGGCTATTTAATTCTAACCAAAAATCTTTTTAATTCTTACTGAAATTATTTGAATCATGTCATAATAATTGACTTTAATGAAGCTGATATAAGACACACTATTTATACTGCACATGTAGTATGGATATATTACTCAGAAAGCCTCTTCATCATTCTTTATATAGAAGCTGCATGTACAGTAAAGATACGTTGGTCCATATGCACATGCACACACACAAGTAGTTACAGATGCTTCTTTAAGTGTGTTGCTTTATCCTTATCTGCCCTATTCCATCCTATAATTCTCAGAGTAAACAGGTGTTGTGTAACTGACCTCTCACAGAGGGGGTTCAGTGCTTCTAAACTGCTGTTAGTGGGACATAAGTGAGAAATAGCCTTAGAATTTGGTCTCTGAAGCACATTAAAGCTACACAGCGCTTCAGGGACTTTGCTAGCTCTTCACTTAAGTTCTTATGAATGAATTCAGCTGGGGGCTTGAGCTTGTACCCTTCATCTTTGTGCCTAAATTAATGCGACCCACTTTCACTTTATCGGGAAGAGCAACATGGTGACAAACTCCCCCGTCCTGACCCAGTCATTGCCACAGCGCCCGGCTGTATGCATCTAAGCTACCAAAACTGAGGAGCTTAATGTTGATTCGGTATTCTTTTAAGGCAAATCAGAAGAGCTAATTATAGGATGGATTCATTAATTGTTCATGCTTTCATTTCATCTAAATCTGTCCCTACACAGTTCATGTTCCAACTCAGTTCTTCACAGCAGCTCAAAATAAACTTTTCATTTCAAAGCAACTAAATATAATCATCATGGATTCATATGCAGCTCTTTTTTGTGGTGGTTTTATGTAAGCACAAGTGAAAGCGTTCAGCTTTTCTGTCTCTCTTCACACAAAGACGCAAGCCCAAACTAATTATGATGTTAATTATTTGTACCTGCTGAGAAAACTGAAACTGTCATATGCATTGAACTTATTTCACTTTTATCTTTACATGAGGTTCTAATCTTCTTGTGTGGTATCTTTCTGCTTCTCTGTTTTTGTCTTTCTGGGCAGGATGTGCAAATTGTGAGTACAGACGAGAATCAGGTATTCCTGGCTCTGCAGGAAAGATGACATTCAATACCGGACGAGGGAAACTAAACAGAAAAGAGCTTAAGAAGGGAACTTAACGAGGGAATTAATCAGACACACCTGAATCAATGAACAAACACCTGGGAACAATAGAACACAATCAGGGAACAGGAACAGGAAAGAAACCAAGCATGGGCATAAACTGAATAATGGAGCATAAATGGAGCACGTGGGGGAGGAAAACACAAGACACAGGACTGACAATATTGCATAAAAAAAACTTCTTGTCATTTTGGGAAGTGAAAAAGACAGAGACATATGAAATTGTCTGGCAAATCTATTTAATTCTGACCAAAATCATTTGAATGCACATCATGTCATAATAACGATTTTTGAAACCCATTAGTAGAAATTTCCAGGATTACTTTATTGAAGCCTCTTGGAAAGTTTTCTGTGCCTAAAATCATTCTTTATATAGAAGCTGCATGTACAGTAGAGATACGCAGTGTGTTTTGGTCCATATACACATGCATACACAGAAGTAGTTACAGATGCTCTTTAAGCGTGTTACTTTATCCTTATCTTCCCTATTCCATTCTTTAATTCTCAGAGCAAACAGGTGTTGTGTAACTGACCGCTCACAGAGGGGTTCAGTGCCTCTAAACTGCTGTTAGTGGGACATAAGTGAGAAATAGCCTTAGAATTTGGTCTCTGAAGCACATTAAAGCTACACAGCGCTTCAGGGACTTTGCTAGCTCTTCACTTAAGTTCTTATGAATGAATTCAGCTGGGGGCTTGAGCTTGTACCCTTCATCTTTGTGCCTAAATTAATGCGACCCACTTTCACTTTATCGGGAAGAGCAACATGGTGACAAACTCCCCCGTCCTGACCCAGTCATTGCCACAGCGCCCGGCTGTATGCATCTAAGCTACCAAAACTGAGGAGCTTAATGTTGATTCGGTATTCTTTTAAGGCAAATCAGAAGAGCTAATTATAGGATGGATTCATTAATTGTTCATGCTTTCATTTCATCTAAATCTGTCCCTACACAGTTCATGTTCCAACTCATTTCTTCACAGCAGTTCAAAATAAACTTTTCATTTCAAAGCAACTAAATATAATCATCATGGATTCATATGCAGCTCTTTTTTGTGGTGGTTTTATGTAAGCACAAGTGAAAGCGTTCAGCTTTTCTGTCTCTCTTCACACAAAGACACAAGCCCGAACGAATCATGATGTTAATTATTTGTACCTGCTGAGAAAACTGAAACTGTCATTTGCATTGAACTTATTTCACTTTTATCTTTACATGAGGTTCTAATCTTCTTGTGTGGTATCTTTCTGCTTCTCTGTTTTTGTCTTTCTGGGCAGGATGTGCAAATTGTGAGTACAGACGAGAATCAGGTATTCCTGGCTCTGCAGGAGTGGTATCAAACAGACATGTACAACCTCTACCAGTCAGATCCACAAGGAGTCTATTACTCCATTGTGTTGGAGAACGTCCGCAGCACCAAGCAGCCTGAAGAGAATGTCCTCATCGACATCCTAGAGGTCAGCATTTCACCCCACAATGTACTTGTGTAAAACAAGGCAGTGTGGGCTTCACATCCTACCTTCTGCATAATGAACTAAACATAGTTTAACTGTTGTAAAGTTCACATTGTTAGAGACCTTTACCTATAACACTTCAAAAAAACACACACACATAAAACTGAAGTGTGACTGCTTGTGATCTAGTAACTCTGCCTTCACGCATTTATTATTTATTGCCAGCAGCATGTTTAAATAAATGAGTGATTCTAGAAAGCTGATGTTCCTGTGCTACTGAAGCAAGTTTGATCTAACACATTGGACAGTTTCTTAGACAGTTGTGACTTTGCCATAATTTGACTTGCTAGTAATATTTTACAGCTTCTTTACAGGATCTGGGAGATACTGAGGAATATCACATCCTTTGGTTGTGTGTGTGTATGTTTTTCAGGTTCGTGGCATCAAGGGCGTATTCTTAGCCAATCAAAAAATAGATGGAAAAGTGATGACTCTCATTACCTACAACAAAGGCAGAGACTGGGAACCACTGGCTCCTCCCACAACTGAAATGAATGGCAAACCTGTCAGCTGCAAGCAGGTAAATAAGACTGTTCATTCCTTAATCCAGCTTTTCAGATGGTATTTTGCATTTCTATGTATCTATCAGTGCTAAATTAATTTTAGTCTAGCTTTCATGCCCATTTTTTTTTTTTTTTCAAAAGTTAAGCAGAATAATGACAGTTTTTTTGTCATTATTTTTAAGCCCCTTTTTACCTTTCAGTTATGATTTCCCAAACATATTACTTACATATGATATTTATAAATATAGTACCGTGCAAACATTTGGGGTTAGTAAGATATTTTTTAGAACAAAAAAAATTGAATACTTTTTATTAATACCTTTATTCAGCAAGAATTCAGGTAATCAAAAGTGACAGTAAAAACTTACATTGTTGCAAAAGATTTCTATTTCAAATGCTGTTCTTTTGAACTTTATATTTATCAAAGATTCCTGAAAAATATATAACGTTTCCACAGTAATATTAAGATGCACAATTGTTTTCAATACTGATAACAATAAGAAATGTTTCTTGAGCACCAAATCAGTATATTACAATGATTTCTGAAGGATCATGTGACACTAAAGACTGGATTAATGACTGCAGAAAATTCAGCTTTGCTATCAAAGGAATAAATTACATTTTAAAAGATTAAAATAGGAAAATTGTAATAAAATTCACAATATTCCTCTTTTACAGTATTTTTGCTCAAATAAAAGCAGCTTTTGTAAGCAAAAGACACTTCTTTCAAAAACATGAAAAAACTCTTACAGACCCCTTTTAAATGGAAGTGTACATGATATACCCACAAACTAAAAACTACAATGCAGACCTTGATTTAAATATACAGTAACTGTGCAGATGTCGTTCATTGCATATTCATACTAACAAAATCGTGACTTTATTTCATTATACATCTACAGATATATATCCAGCCCACACTCTGCTTTTTTCCTGTTCAGAATGATTGTACCGCAGCTGTCTCACAGACACAGACGTGAAGTCATTGACCCCTCGATCTGACTCATCTTCCGCTGTTTGTGGTTGAGGGTTGGTGTGCAGAGCAGGCATTGGTTCTGCTGCTGTCTCATTAGACAAAAGAGAAAAAACGATCTGAATCATCAATCCACACACACACACAGCTAGAGATGATATGTATCATTATAAATGCCCATTTTAAACACTGTGACTGGTAGCTGGCCATTAATTAAGACACAGATATGGTTTCTGGCATACATGAGACAAGACAAGACTATATATAAATCACAAGTTGAAAGGACATGTATCGACTTCTCTCTCCTTTCCTGTCTGTCTAGCCAACCCTTCTCACATCTTCATCTCCCAGCCGTCCATTTGACATGTCTTTTTTCTCATTGTTCTCTTCTCCTCCTCATTTATCAACACTCTCTCTTCCTTCCTCTCTCATTTTTTTTGTCATTTTTACTGCTCTTCTCATTTTTTATTGCCACCCTGTTGAGGTTTTTGGCACCTTAAATATGCTTTAAATTCATGCTCTGATTCATCTTTTATCCGGAACATTATGTAGTACGACTTGTGAAGTGATTTTAAATTATGGGCTGCTTACTGTAGAACTTAGACTGTTATTTGTGTGTTAATGCAAGGTGGTTTTGTGTGTTTGTCAGAGAGTCTAGATTTTCTACTAAGTGCACACCTTATGTAAAACACTGGTTGGTGGTATATCTATTGGGTAATAATCACCAAAGTACAAAAAAAAAAAGTCAGAGAGAGTTAAATTTTTCTTTGCCTCTGTTCCTCTTCCTAGCCTGACTGTCACCTCCATCTCCACCTGCGCTGGGCTGACAACCCTTACGTATCTGGAACGGTCCACACTAAAGATTCTGCCCCAGGTCTCATAATGGGTGCAGGTCAGTCTTCATGACCACTGTTACACATCAGCACTGTCACCATGAAGCTCTGTACTCCTTTTCAATTACAAGAGCTAATTATATTCCAGATCCAAATCTGCACTACTGCATGCTTAGGGAAACTGTGATAGTGTGTACAAAGAAAAGAAAAAAAAGGAAAGGAATGCTGAGAAATATTTTAGGAGGGGAAAATGAATGTGATGTACCATTTCTGAGTGTTGTGCAATGCCATTGAGCCCACACTGAGGCACAAAAGGAGGCAGGCACAGATATATGAAATATTTGCTCTTTATTGCCACAGGGTTCATGGGGAATTGAGGAAGACAATACATTAATGTTCTTGAATCCAAGGCTAGAGCTATTGCCAGTTCACAAGGTCATCAAGTCTGTCCATTCCCTCAGGGTTACAGACATGTAACATACACACACACACACACACACACACAGACAGTGAGTATGTTTACATGGACAACAATACTCCGATTTTAATACGATTAAGACAATACTCTGATTAAGAATCTACCATGTAAACAGAGATTTTTGATTACCTTAATCCGGCTAAAGTCATATTCGAAGTAAACAGAAATCGAATTAAGACATGTGGAGTATTCCTATTTTAGTCGCATTACTGAAGTTTAGTATAGACATGCACACACCTTAACGGGAACATGAAAGGAATATTCTAAAAGCAACTCATGTAAACACTATAATCATAATATTGGCTTATTTAGAATAAGGTAAATAATTAGATTACTGATGTCCATGTAAACGTAGTCAGTGTCACAGTGGCTTTTTCAATCTTGACTTATTTCTCTTACTAACAAACACATGAGCAGTCTCCGGTTTTAAACACATTGAAGCTCGTTCTCACCATATAAATGTACATGTACATACACCGCATAAAATGAGCACTGAGTCTCCATCAAAATCCTGCTTTCTCTTGCTATTATTGTGCACTTCCTCAGTAAAATGTTCAGCTCTAACTAGTTCACAGCCTTTGATCCACAATAGCCTCCAGTTTTCTCGCAGTTTCATTCTTTTTATATGCAACTCGCTCACGAGTACTCCTCCTTCTCTCTTAAAATTAAACAAAGTGAGGAAATTGCTGCTTCGCCTCAAGTTAAAAAGAAGAAAATTAAAGATGCTCTCTCCCTCTTTGTATTTATGTGGAGATATTCTGTGTGTATCTTCTCTTCAGGTAACCTCGGGTCTCAGCTGGTTGAATATAAAGAGGAGATGTACATCACCTCAGACTGTGGCAAGACCTGGAGACAGGTGAGAATGAACACAGAAAAGACACTAATGGTCTGCGAATGTTTTACAATGACTTTTCGGTGTCAGAAAAATGCTTAATTATAGCTTCTTCTGTGACTTGTCACGACTCTTTAGGTTTGCTCTTTGTATTTAACACCCACCTTTCCCAACAGACTTGGTTCGGTTTGCTCGTTGAATTCAGATCTCTGTTCCTCTTGTTCCCATTCTGCCCAAGGATTTATATGCAGCACTTTTTTGTGGTGGTTTTATGTAAGCGCAAGTGAAAGCATTCAGCTTTTCTGTCTCTCTTCACACAAAGACGCAAGCCCAAACGAATCATGATGTTAATTATTTGTACCTGCTGAGAAAACTGAAACTGTCATTTGCATTGAACTTATTTCACTTTTATCTTTACATGAGGTTCTAATCTTCTTGTGTGGTATCTTTCTGCTTCTCTGTTTTTGTCTTTCTGGGCAGGATGTGCAAATTGTGAGTACAGACGAGAATCAGGTATTCCTGGCTCTGCAGGAGTGGTATCAAACAGACATGTACAACCTCTACCAGTCAGATCCACAAGGAGTCTATTACTCCATTGTGTTGGAGAACGTCCGCAGCACCAAGCAGCCTGAAGAGAATGTCCTCATCGACATCCTAGAGGTCAGCATTTCACCCCACAATGTACTTGTGTAAACAAGGCAGTGTGGGCTTCACATCCTACCTTCTGCATAATGAACTAAACATAGTTTAACTGTTGTAAAGTTCACATTGTTAGAGACCTTTACCTATAACACTTCAAAAAAACACACACACATAAAACTGAAGTGTGACTGCTTGTGATCTAGTAACTCTGCCTTCACGCATTTATTATTTATTGCCAGCAGCATGTTTAAATAAATGAGTGATTCTAGAAAGCTGATGTTCCTGTGCTACTGAAGCAAGTTTGATCTAACACATTGGACAGTTTCTTAGACAGTTGTGACTTTGCCATAATTTGACTTGCTAGTAATATTTTACAGCTTCTTTACAGGATCTGGGAGATACTGAGGAATATCACATCCTTTGGTTGTGTGTGTGTATGTTTTTCAGGTTCGTGGCATCAAGGGCGTATTCTTAGCCAATCAAAAAATAGATGGAAAAGTGATGACTCTCATTACCTACAACAAAGGCAGAGACTGGGAACCACTGGCTCCTCCCACAACTGAAATGAATGGCAAACCTGTCAGCTGCAAGCAGGTAAATAAGACTGTTCATTCCTTAATCCAGCTTTTCAGATGGTATTTTGCATTTCTATGTATCTATCAGTGCTAAATTAATTTTAGTCTAGCTTTCATGCCCATTTTTTTTTTTTTTTCAAAAGTTAAGCAGAATAATGACAGTTTTTTTGTCATTATTTTTAAGCCCCTTTTTACCTTTCAGTTATGATTTCCCAAACATATTACTTACATATGATATTTATAAATATAGTACCGTGCAAACATTTGGGGTTAGTAAGATATTTTTTAGAACAAAAAAAATTGAATACTTTTTATTAATACCTTTATTCAGCAAGAATTCAGGTAATCAAAAGTGACAGTAAAAACTTACATTGTTGCAAAAGATTTCTATTTCAAATGCTGTTCTTTTGAACTTTATATTTATCAAAGATTCCTGAAAAATATATAACGTTTCCACAGTAATATTAAGATGCACAATTGTTTTCAATACTGATAACAATAAGAAATGTTTCTTGAGCACCAAATCAGTATATTACAATGATTTCTGAAGGATCATGTGACACTAAAGACTGGATTAATGACTGCAGAAAATTCAGCTTTGCTATCAAAGGAATAAATTACATTTTAAAAGATTAAAATAGGAAAATTGTAATAAAATTCACAATATTCCTCTTTTACAGTATTTTTGCTCAAATAAAAGCAGCTTTTGTAAGCAAAAGACACTTCTTTCAAAAACATGAAAAAACTCTTACAGACCCCTTTTAAATGGAAGTGTACATGATATACCCACAAACTAAAAACTACAATGCAGACCTTGATTTAAATATACAGTAACTGTGCAGATGTCGTTCATTGCATATTCATACTAACAAAATCGTGACTTTATTTCATTATACATCTACAGATATATATCCAGCCCACACTCTGCTTTTTTCCTGTTCAGAATGATTGTACCGCAGCTGTCTCACAGACACAGACGTGAAGTCATTGACCCCTCGATCTGACTCATCTTCCGCTGTTTGTGGTTGAGGGTTGGTGTGCAGAGCAGGCATTGGTTCTGCTGCTGTCTCATTAGACAAAAGAGAAAAAACGATCTGAATCATCAATCCACACACACACACAGCTAGAGATGATATGTATCATTATAAATGCCCATTTTAAACACTGTGACTGGTAGCTGGCCATTAATTAAGACACAGATATGGTTTCTGGCATACATGAGACAAGACAAGACTATATATAAATCACAAGTTGAAAGGACATGTATCGACTTCTCTCTCCTTTCCTGTCTGTCTAGCCAACCCATCTCACATCTTCATCTCCCAGCCGTCCATTTGACATGTCTTTTTTCTCATTGTTCTCTTCTCCTCCTCATTTATCAACACTCTCTCTTCCTTCCTCTCTCATTTTTTTTGTCATTTTTACTGCTCTTCTCATTTTTTATTGCCACCCTGTTGAGGTTTTTGGCACCTTAAATATGCTTTAAATTCATGCTCTGATTCATCTTTTATCCGGAACATTATGTAGTACGACTTGTGAAGTGATTTTAAATTATGGGCTGCTTACTGTAGAACTTAGACTGTTATTTGTGTGTTAATGCAAGGTGGTTTTGTGTGTTTGTCAGAGAGTCTAGATTTTCTACTAAGTGCACACCTTATGTAAAACACTGGTTGGTGGTATATCTATTGGGTAATAATCACCAAAGTACAAAAAAAAAAAGTCAGAGAGAGTTAAATTTTTCTTTGCCTCTGTTCCTCTTCCTAGCCTGACTGTCACCTCCATCTCCACCTGCGCTGGGCTGACAACCCTTACGTATCTGGAACGGTCCACACTAAAGATTCTGCCCCAGGTCTCATAATGGGTGCAGGTCAGTCTTCATGACCACTGTTACACATCAGCACTGTCACCATGAAGCTCTGTACTCCTTTTCAATTACAAGAGCTAATTATATTCCAGATCCAAATCTGCACTACTGCATGCTTAGGGAAACTGTGATAGTGTGTACAAAGAAAAGAAAAAAAAGGAAAGGAATGCTGAGAAATATTTTAGGAGGGGAAAATGAATGTGATGTACCATTTCTGAGTGTTGTGCAATGCCATTGAGCCCACACTGAGGCACAAAAGGAGGCAGGCACAGATATATGAAATATTTGCTCTTTATTGCCACAGGGTTCATGGGGAATTGAGGAAGACAATACATTAATGTTCTTGAATCCAAGGCTAGAGCTATTGCCAGTTCACAAGGTCATCAAGTCTGTCCATTCCCTCAGGGTTACAGACATGTAACATACACACACACACACACACACACACAGACAGTGAGTATGTTTACATGGACAACAATACTCCGATTTTAATACGATTAAGACAATACTCTGATTAAGAATCTACCATGTAAACAGAGATTTTTGATTACCTTAATCCGGCTAAAGTCATATTCGAAGTAAACAGAAATCGAATTAAGACATGTGGAGTATTCCTATTTTAGTCGCATTACTGAAGTTTAGTATAGACATGCACACACCTTAACGGGAACATGAAAGGAATATTCTAAAAGCAACTCATGTAAACACTATAATCATAATATTGGCTTATTTAGAATAAGGTAAATAATTAGATTACTGATGTCCATGTAAACGTAGTCAGTGTCACAGTGGCTTGTTCACTCTTGACTTATTTCTCTTACTAACAAACACATGAGCAGTCTCCGGTTTTAAACACATTGAAGCTCGTTCTCACCATATAAATGTACATGTACATACACCGCATAAAATGAGCACTGAGTCTCCATCAAAATCCTGCTTTCTCTTGCTATTATTGTGCACTTCCTCAGTAAAATGTTCAGCTCTAACTAGTTCACAGCCTTTGATCCACAATAGCCTCCAGTTTTCTCGCAGTTTCATTCTTTTTATATGCAACTCGCTCACGAGTACTCCTCCTTCTCTCTTAAAATTAAACAAAGTGAGGAAATTGCTGCTTCGCCTCAAGTTAAAAAGAAGAAAATTAAAGATGCTCTCTCCCTCTTTGTATTTATGTGGAGATATTCTGTGTGTATCTTCTCTTCAGGTAACCTCGGGTCTCAGCTGGTTGAATATAAAGAGGAGATGTACATCACCTCAGACTGTGGCAAGACCTGGAGACAGGTGAGAATGAACACAGAAAAGACACTAATGGTCTGCGAATGTTTTACAATGACTTTTCGGTGTCAGAAAAATGCTTAATTATAGCTTCTTCTGTGACTTGTCACGACTCTTTAGGTTTGCTCTTTGTATTTAACACCCACCTTTCCCAACAGACTTGGTTCGGTTTGCTCGTTGAATTCAGATCTCTGTTCCTCTTGTTCCCATTCTGCTCAATTTCATTTGACACCCTCTCATTTGCTGCCGTTTCAGCGCTCAGTATGTGGCAGACTTATTTCTCTGTCTTAATGTCCTTTCAATGATTTTGGATATTGTTGCTGCCTCTCATTTCCTCAGCTCTATTTTCCCTAATGACATTAAATCTTGATTATGACAATTATGAAGATGAACTTCAAGAGATTATTTCATTTGCTCACTGTAGGTTTTTGAAGAAGAGCATCACATTCTTTATCTGGATCATGGCGGTGTCATTGTGGCCATCAAGGACACCTCAATCCCTTTAAAAATACTCAAGTAAGTTCAGTTTTTTTTTTCTGTAATGTGATTTTGATGTCTGGACATCATCTGTAAGTGTTCAAAGTCAAAAACTCAAATGTACCCAGTTGCTGACATGACAAAGACTGACAGTAGAAAGAGAAACTTGAGTAGTGAACACTGTAAACAGGGTCAGACCAGTATGAAAAACTCAAGACTTCCCTCCCTGGCTTTTGCTGACCTGATTGTGCTGGTTTTGAGTGAGCGCTTTAAGAAGCTCATTTGGCTTTGGAGGGCTCTTCAGACCACCCTGAGTTCCCGAGCAGCCTGAACCTCTTCCTTTGCACTCTCTTAAAGACAACTCTTTACCCATATTATATGAAGTGATTCACATACTAGATATCGAGTTCACCTTGCTTCACAAATGTGCGTAAAGAGGAGACCTATGAAGATCAAAGAGAAAATCATTACCATCTCTCACATAAGCCTTGAAGCCTTTCATCGGCATTGAGTCTTGGCAGTACAAACACAGCTTCTGTCAGGATAAAACTAAGAGCTTGTAGTGCTTACGCTGGCTTGTAGCCTACAAACTCTCATGTTCACACTGTGAGAATCAACGCCGACAGAGTGATTTTTCTGCTGACAGTATGTTCAGAATTTTTATAAAGAGAGGAATGAATGTATCGCATGTATAATTAATTAAAATAATTTTTGAAATGTATAAACTGTGTTTCACGTTTAACTAAAATACACGTCTTCACTCAAAGCAGACTTGTAATAGGTCATAGGATATATAATATACATATAATATACAACTTGAATAAAATATAAATAAAATATAATATACAACTTTTTTATATGCATGGTGAGTACTGCTAATACAACATCAAAACAAATATTTTATCTTAGGTTCAGCACAGATGAAGGACGAACATGGAGCATCCACAACTTCACCAGCACTTCTGTATTTGTGGATGGACTTTTGAGCGAACCTGGAGATGAGACGCTGGTTATGACGTGAGTATGAGTCCTCTGAAAATTGAACAGGAGTTACTAGTCCACTAGGGATAGGTGATCAAAAATGAACATCATTTTACTCACCTTCATGTTTCAAAACATTTATGCACAACAGAGAAAGAGTGTTTTTTTTCTTTCCATACAATGAAAATCAATGAGGACCTACTGTATGTTGTTTTGGACACCACTGCCTTTGATTGTATGGAGAGAAAAAAAAACAATCATACAGTTTTGGAACAATATGAGAGTACAGTAAATGATCTTCATTTTTCTGTGAACTATCCATTTAAGACAGTTCTAGGACAAGTTTTAGGACAATTTTATTATTTTGGAGTAATATTTTGGTTCCTGTTTTGGTTTTACTTGGCCTTAGTACATACAGTAATATACATTTTTTATAGTCATTTTGTTTGTGCTGTTTGAGCATAATCTCGACTTGAAACGGTTAGGCATTTTGCTATCAGGCCTTTAGTCCATCACGAGCTGAATATTCATTGTAGAACCACATTGAACTGAAGGAAGTGTATTTATAAAATTGGACATATTGGACATCTCAGATATGAGTGATATGCCAGATGATCAAAGCATTTTGAATTGTTCGTGACACTTGTGCACTGAGTTCTATGAAACGCAGATACAGGGTTCCACCTTGTGGCGGTGAACAGTGATTTATTTGAGATTAAGTGAAGAGCATCTTTCCATAGACCCCAAACAGCAGGTGGTCTCTGTATTATAAAGAGGCTGCCCTTTTGATAAAGGCAATGTGAAATTCAAAGGCCTTAATTAAAGAGGCCCCCGCTCATTAGAAACACACTGCTGATGAGCGCGGTCATGTGTCTGTCCTCTCGCTTGCTCTGTTCCCAAGATGCGTAATTGGGTAGAGAATGTGTTGTGACGTGAAGTCAAAGTTACACTCCAATGGTCTCGCTTTTTCGGTGAAAGGGATGAATGGCTTTTGTCTTGATGGATAATCGGATGTTTATGGATGGAGGGATGGATTAATGGACAGGTCGAAGGCTTATGTTTATTTATGCTTGCTGATGTGGACAGGGTATTTGGCCACATAAGTTACCGTTCGGATTGGGAGCTGGTGAAGGTGGATTTCCGACAGTCATTTCCCAGGCAGTGCACAGAAGCTGATTATGACTCCTGGAAACTCACTGACCTACAGGTAATATCAGGCTGTTTTTCTGGCCTCCCACTCAGCAGTACAGTTACAGCATGTTCAAAAACAATAAAGGTTGAACCAAAGTGCTGTACAGCTCATTGAAACTCATGAGACGAAAATAAGGAAGCAGATATAAAGACTATTTAAAAAAACTAAACAAAATAATAATATTAAACAGACATATTTTCTTCAGCAAAAAGATTTTCAGCAGTACATTTGAACTCTTCTGTTATGGAAATAAATGTACATTTAGGTTGTGAATCAGTTTACTATTTAAATGGAGACTCATGACAGGTTTTCTCCCACAGGGAGAGAAATGCATCATGGGCCAGGAGCGAATGTACAGGAGGAGGAAAGAGTCATCGTTCTGCATTAAAGGGAAGAGCTATACTTCAGCTTTAACAGCTAAACCTTGCCAGTGCACAGAGAAAGACTTTGCCTGGTACGAAATAGAGAGATAACCTTTGCACATTTCAAGCCAATTGCAATTATACACAGATGCCTTTGCTGTAACAGGCACTCTTAACTTCACTTTCACACCCCAGTGCAGTGCACTGTGAATTAGATCAGGGGCTAAAAATAGAGCTTTACGTCTCTCTGTGTGTTCTCAGTGACTACGGCTTTGAGCGTGCTCCCAGCCTCCGGTTAGAGGGGGATCGCTGTTATCCTGACTTCTGGCATGATCCTGACGCTCCACCTGAAAACTGCCACTTAGGACACAGCTACAAGTCCAGCACAGGGTAATACTGAATGCTGAACATTAAGAAATGCAGGGCATAACCACTACACTTATTAAATGTGTCAGTTTTTACACTGAGCAAGCACAGTAAATGCCACTCATGCATATCATAGACACTTTAGATGAGCACACAAGCTTTGTTCAGACAGGCAGATAAAATGAGTACCATGTCCACATGTCTTTTGAAATCAGATCTTTTTTGGAATGTGTCTTAGTCTGAATTGTCAGATCAGATGTTCGTCATTCAGGTCACAACACACATGTAATGTCATAGTGATTGTGCATAATATGACCTGAAACTATGTCCAGATACACTCATTTTGTCCCATATCTGCTTAAGTTGGGTACAAACCTCCACTCGGTTTCAAGTGAGAATACTATCTCAACATCCGTTTATGAGCACTATTCATTTATAACACATATATAGCTACGTTTTTATGATGTACACTATAGTCTCCAGGCTCACAGTGATTCAGACACCAATATTTTAACTATTCTAAAAAGATGAATCACTGTCTGGCCAACTGAGATTCCGCTATGAAGGTTAGGATCGTGATTTTTTTAGTAGTACTACTGTATATCAGCACCATTCGTTATTTTCTTTTGGCTTTGGATAGTGTTTGGACCCATCATGTCCGGATAGCAAACTATGTGATGATCACTATGTAGTGCATAGTGAATGAATGTGCATGATTGTCACTTATGTTGTGCTTCATGAACACTGTGATAGACTTGAGCAGAGGCAAAATGTTCAGTTTTCCAGTCATAGTGATTGTGCATAATATGACCTGAAGCTATGTCCAGATACACTCATTTTGTCCCATATCTGCTTAAGTTGGGTACAAACCTCCACTCGGTTTCAAGTGAGAATACTATCTCAACATCCGCACTATTCATTTATAACACATATATAGCTAAGTTTTTATGATGTACACTATAGTCTCCAGGCTCACAGTGATTCAGACACCAATATTTTAACTATTCTAAAAAGATGAATCACTGTCTGGCCAACTGAGATTCCGCTATGAAGGTTAGGATCGTGATTTTTTTAGTAGTACTACTGTATATCAGCACCATTCGTTATTTTCTTTTGGCTTTGGATAGTGTTTGGACCCATCATGTCCGGATAGCAAACTATGTGATGATCACTATGTAGTGCATAGTGAATGAATGTGCATGATTGTCACTTATGTTGTGCTTCATGAACACTGTGATAGACTTGAGCAGAGGCAAAATGTTCAGTTTTCCAACCTCTGTTTCCATTTTGACAATACTCTTACTGACATTATTACTATAGCAACCAAAGCAGATTGACTAGATTTAACAAACAGATCAGATTTCATTGCTTTCAAAATATTAATCAAAAAGACTGATGTGTGTGCATCAAGGCCATACTGAGCTGTGTTAAGTAGAGCAGAAGACTCTCGTTCAAAAAACCCTCAGCTGACAAAAAAGGTTGTGCTTGTTTATCAGTCGTTCTGAGAATACCTTTCTGGACACATTATATAGATATTTTGTCCACCTCTTAAAGCGAATTATTGTAGGTATTTAAGAATGAAATGCATCTTTTCCACAGCTCTCCATTATAACAGTTTAAATCCAGGCCACGTCACATGGATTTTCCAGTTTAAGGCAAATAAAAACAAGTAAAGGCTAACATGTCTTGTGTTGTAGTTACCGGAAGGTCATCACTAATGTTTGTGAGGGTGGCTTGAATAAAGAACAGAGCGCGAAGCAGCATTCCTGCCCTCTGCTGCCCCCTAGAGGTCTGCAGCTGGGCATCAAAGGACAGATGCTGGCTGTGGCACCTGGTGATGACATCACTTTTATAGTCCATCAGGAACAGGTGATTATTTATACAACTCTTATAATTTGAATGCCAAAATGTAAGAAAACTTTGAATAGAAAATATAACGATTTACAGGCACGGAAAAATGTTCCTCTTATTTGTAGGCATCTTTAACTTTCGTTTCTTTGTTCTTCCCTCTTCAGGGGGACACCACCAGCACCAGATATCAGGTGGATTTAATTGATGGCGTCAGGGCTATATATGAAAACCTGACTGTCACAGATGAACCCATTCAGCACCGTTATGAGAAGCCAGGTGTTTACCGTGTCAATGTGAAGGCTGAAAACTCTGCTGGACATGACCAAGCCACACTTTACATCCAGGTCACAGGTCAGTAAAATCAGCTGTGTAAAATTATGGAACATAATGGTTAGTATAATCTATAATACTGTCTGTGAGGTTGAAATGTTTCTACTGAATCATAACTCGGAATCAGGCCCATGTGAAATCTGCACAAAGAAAGGCCGGATATTACCAAATGTGACCCTAGACCACAAAACCAGTCTTAAGTCGCTGGGGTATATTTGTAGCAATAGCCAAAAATACATTGTATGGGTCAGAATTATTGATTTTTCTTTTATGCCAAAAATCATGAGGATATTAAGTAAAGATCATGTTCCATGAAGATATTTTGTAAATTTCCTACTGTAAATATATCAAAACTTAATTTTTTATTAGTAATATGCATTGCTAAGAACTTCATTTGGATAACTTTAAAGGCGATTTTCTCAAGATTTTGATTTTTTTTGCACCCTCGGATTCCAGATTTTCAAATAGTGACTGAATAAATCTCAGCCAAATATTGTCCTATCCTAACAAACCATACATCAATGTAAAGTATATAAATGGTATATAATGGTGTATAAATCTCAATTTCAAAAAATGTACCCTTATAACTGGTTTTGTGGTCCAGGGTCACAAATGATCCGAGATCTTTATTTGACAGACTCTGCTTTTATGATGAATTCCGAGGAGTTGAGGCTTAAGTTCAGTTAATACAAGCTGATTGGAAAGCAGCTTGTATTAAGGCTCACACTATGTCTATAAATACACACCTTAAACTTATTCAGAATAAATGGTTAATGCGGATATATGTAGCGCCGGTGGATTTAAATAGATATAATAAAAACCAGACATATGTACAAAATGTATGGAAGCTAGAGGAACTTTGTTTCACGTGGTCCCAATCGCTGGCAGAAATCAAGAAGTAAATCTCACAGCTATAGTGCTGCCCACTGAGGCAAACCTTACCGTGTTTTACTGGTGGATTGGAGATAACCTTCAGGTACTAATTAATAATATTCTATAAAAAATAAACTCATAATATATGATTTTTAGGGGACTGCCAAAAAATACTATTGCAAAAGCTCATGTTTTTCTGTTTTTTATTAGGTGTGTATATTAGGTGTTTGTGTTCAGTATTAAAATTATACTGACTTTTAAAAAAATTTAGTAGCCATGTATTTTAGCACTACTCTGAATTTTTCTACAGAACAAAATGGCATGTAATGAGGGCATGTAATAAATTAATTGGCACTGCATCTACGATTATATGCATACATGTGGGATTGTAATGAGAAGTTTTAAGATTAATGTTTAATGAGTTCATATACACACATACACATGTGTATACTCTCATACATGTGTAAATATTGAAGAAACTGACCTGGAATTAATTTGAGATGCTTATGCTTAAAGGTTCAGGTGTAGCCGTTAAAGTGATGCCCTTACACTTATATAGATATGTATGACGTGTCTTTCCCCTCGACAGCCGAAGCTGTCCCTGGAGAACAGTCTGATTACAAGGTTCTCTGAGGAGGGGGAAGTTCCTGTGACAGTTCAGGCTTCTAATGGTCGATCCATGGTACAGGACAGCAAGATTATCATTGTCTACGGTAAGATAAAACACCCCTTGATGGTGTACACCCTCAAAATGATTCTCTTCTGTTTAATTCTATCATACATATTTAGCATGTTCAGAGTGCATTGGTTCAACATTGTGATTGTTAAAGTGTTTGAGATGGCCAGTCAAATCAAAGAAGGCAAGTTTCCATGGGAGGTCTGTGATTAAAAAGGAAGCAGCCAATTCACCTAAAAATGAAAATCATTTACTCACCCTTACATAATTCCAAACCAGTATGGCCCAATTGTTTGCAAAACATAACAAAAGAATGTTTGCACTCTGTTCAACAAAAAAGACAAAAACTATAATAATATAACTGAAGGCACCACAAAGACAATCCAAATGGCCTTTGTGCTACTTTCAATGGATTGGTTTTATGGTATACAGGTAATCACTAGTCATACAGAACTGTTCCTCAGTGTAAAAATTCTATTTGCTATGTAAATCTGGAAATACAAATTATGACTTGAAGTACAGCAGTCGTCCATTAATGTTAATGAGAAGCACAAAAATACTAGTTATTGCAATTAAATATTTTTGAATAGCATTCATTTTTCTGTTTTGAGTTGTATTTTTATGTTAGCAAGTGTGTTAAATTGCTCTGCACATCAGTAAGCCAGTGTGTTATGGTTTTTTAGTCCCTGCATGTACTGCATGAATAATCTGGGCCTTGTGACAAACACAGATTGTATATAATAAAACATCATTCACAGAAACACTGTCAATACTAAAAAAAGATTGGGAACTAATGCCACAGTTAATGCATACTGTTAAAGTTCTCGATTTGTGTTTGAAATCCAACTTGAGGACTAACCCTGTTTCTTTCTTGTAATGACAGTGTTAAATAGAACTGAAATATTCATGTGATTCCAGGGCTGGATTGAATATTTATGAGTGTGGTGTGATAGGGATGAGGTCATGCTTGGAAAGCAGAAATGACGGTCTCCCTCAGAGACAATGTTCAGCTTGAATACAAAATGAAGAAGAACTATTGTGCACAGTCTCACTTCACTGTTTCATATCATTTGTCCTCCAGCTAAAAGTAAACCTGTTGGTTACATTTTTTAAATAATTTAATTTGGATGACTTCCCTACTTTAAATTTCTGTAGAAAAAAAAAAGACTTGCCTGGAAGAGTTCGGTTCTTTATTTTGAGATCACATCTTTTCAACTGGTTTTATGAGTCCTTTTCACATTTTTCATGTGGTATGAAAGTTTTAAAGGTATATAGTTCACCAAAAAAAATTTGAATTCTGTCTTACCATTATTAATCACCTTCATGTCATTCTAAACCCATATGCTTTGCTATAGCTATTGGAGTAACAAGATTTTGTGAGTGTGACACCGATTGAAAGTCTTTGTCTACCTCACCTCTTGCCTATATATATGCAGTAGGATCACTTCAAATAGTGAGGCTTTTAGTTGAACTAAGGAGAGTTAAATGATTATTATTGTATTGTTTAATTGAAAGTCTTTGTCTACCTCACCTCTTGCCTATATACAGTGGGTACGGAAAGTATTCAGACCCCCTTAAATTTTTCACTCTTTGTTATATTGCAGCCATTTTTGCTATAGCTATTGGAGTAACAAGATTTTGTGAGTGTGACACCGATTGAAAGTCTTTGTCTACCTCACCTCTTGCCTATATATATGCAGTAGGATCACTTCAAATAGTGAGGCTTTTAGTTGAACTAAGGAGAGTTAAATGATTATTATTGTATTGTTTTTGTATTATTCTTTTGTGCAATATAGGTGTTTTTTGCAGCTGCAATATTAACATTTATATGTTCATAATACCTTGTTCATAATACAGTGTCTCTCTTCAGATCATTTCCAGATCATCCCATTGAGTTTCAGTCGTAATTTGGATCGCTTTAACCCAAACATCCCTGAATGGAGACAAGATGTGGGACAAGTCGTAACCAAGATTCTTGCAAAGGTTTCAATCATAAACACACAAACACTAGAGCTCTGTTTGTTTTATGCAAAACAACCATTTTAAATGTACTTATCATGTTTCACTCTTTCTCTAAAAGCTCACAGGGGTTCCTCAGGACTCTTTGGTGACCATGGTGAAGCCTGGTCTTCCCACCACCGCAGACCTCTATGTTCTTCCTCAAGAGAGCACACCAGTGAAGAGGAGTGTGTTTGTGGATAAGGTAGATGCATCATCTTGCCTGGGATGCCACTCGAATGAGAAGAGATACATTCTCAGACAGCAAAACATTAGTCTAGCAATAAAACCTCTTGATACGGTGACCTAAAATGAAGACATCCACAAACAACTTGTTAGAACCTGGAGATACCTTTTGCATTAGAAGTAAACAGTAAATTGAATGAGTCAGGGAATTCATTTCTTGTTTACTATGGTTTACTCAGACACAAATTGTAATAAAGTAGCCTATAATGGTACAAATATTTTGAAGTGATATTTGTTAGGATTTAACTGTTATGTTCTTGTGTGTGTTCTTCATTTGCGCAGCGTGTTCCCACTATAAAGCAGGTTCTGAGTGAGAACAACGTGAGCTTCATTGTGAGAGGAGGGTTACGAGTATTGGTGACTCTGGCGGACTCGGACAGAGGTGAGCAAAATAAAACAGATTCCAGCACCTGACAGACACTCATACATTCATGTACATCTCCAAAGTATGTCAGTGAGTCACTTAACAATTATAGCATTACAGCAAGCCCTTCATGAATAATTACTAAAACAGAACTAATGTATTTCAAAGGACCTATCACTAGTGATGTGTCTGCCAGCACAACAGAGACTGGTGTGTCACTTTACCACTTGCTTTTAGAAGTGTCATCTTTACTCTTTAAAGGGGTCCTATTATGCTTTTTCACTTTTTCAACTTTAGTTAGTCTGTAATGTTGCTGTTTGAGCATAAAAAAGATCTGCAAAGTTACAAAGCTCAAAGTCCACTTCAAAAGGAGATATTTTATTTAACAGAAATCACTTTTCAAAAACTACAACGAACGACTCGTTTGGACTACAACGCACATTTTCCGGGATTTGTGATATCACAAAGAGAAAAAGAATGTGTTTTTCGAACAACCTAGTATGAGAGCGTGTTCTAGTACACCCCCAAAACAAAATCAAGACTTTGTAAAAGAGCATAATAGGACCCCTTTAAGTATATTAATCTGCTTATACAGAGATAGAAATTAAAGGGGAAAAATAATGCAATAATGTCTCATTTCTGTTCTGTTTTCTGATCTAGTTGTTACGTACAGTTGGCTTCATTTACTCTTCATATGTATGCTTCTGTTGGCTTGCATTTCTGTTTGAGTTTTGTGCTGTCAAAGTCACAGTGCTCTTTGGTTTGAAAAACACATGCATGCTTAAGTTTTCTTTATTGTAAACTTTCTTTGTGTTTATTTTTAGTTCATCTTTTAGGCATTTTAAAGTTTTTTGTTTGTTTGTTTCACTGTTGTTTGTGTCACAGCCCCACAAATGCCTTCATCCACACAAGGTGTGTACATTGTGTGTGATTTGTGTGATTTGAATTTGTTTAGGTTATTTTTTTACACGTTTGGTAAGTAAATAGTTATCATTAGAGCCAGGTGATGGTTAAAGAGTTCAATCAAAAATGAAAATTCATCTCATCAAGTGTAAACTATCCCTTTAATTCCTGTGGCATTACAGGCGCTAATGATATACAGGTTAGCAGAATCTAATTTTGTAGGAAATTTATTGCAAATGTTGGCAAGCGTTTGATAATTATGATAAAGGAAGTAAAGCGTGATGACCAGAGATGTTTCTCTTCTGCAGGTTCTCGTCTGGCTGCAGCAGGTCCAGGTGTTTGGGCTCTAGCTGTCTTTCTCCTCATCAGTCTGATCTCTGCTGCAGCATTCATACTCTTCAAGTTTAAAAGGTTTGTCCTTTTCTTCAGGTTTTATTGCTGCAATTTTAAAAAGTAATATTTCATGTTTTTTGAAGACTTCCCTGTCATTCCTGGGTGGGTTACTAGGGAAAATTACTCAACCTATTTCCAAATGAATAACATGCACACCCATTCTGTCTTGCTGCCCATCACCGAATTGCATGGTACACACATGTATGCAGGAACCACAGATTTTCTTAGAAAAACTGTACTCTTTTGATAATGCTATGGATAGTCACTGTCCCATCACACCCCATCACTGAAGAATGCATGCTCAGTCCCCACATGTCTAAGTGACAGCCAGATTATATAACAGAACATGAACTACAAAACTGTGACAGGAAAAACAACAAAAACCATGGTTCCTTGCTGAGGCCAGAGGAGAGCAGCCTAACGCATCCCTGGCTGCGTTTCAGAAAACTGCCGGGACGAAACGTCTATGCTCAGATGCACAATGAGAAGGAGCAGGAAATGACCAGCCCTGTCAATCACAGTGACGACACACAGAATATCATTCAAGGCGAGGAGTTCATTGATGACGACCTTGACTCGCAGACACTAGGTAACGCTGGAGGTAGAAGCAAATTCAGTTACCCTAGACTAACCAGTCATTACTAACCAGAAAAGACTCAGTCACTCTAACATCAGTTTGCTACTAATTCAGAAATGGGGCCCGTTATTGGATTTGTTGGTTCTACTTTAGTTTGGGGAACAATTCTCACTATAAACCAACTATTAACTATGACTGTTGCCTTAATAAACTCCTAGTTTTCTGCTGATTAAAGGTATAGTTCACCCAAAAATGAACATTTTGCCATCATTTACTCCCCCTCATGTCATTCCAAACACAAAAGAATATATTTTGAAGAACCGAACAGCAGTTTGAACCATCAACTGTTTGATTACCACCATTCTTCAAAATATCTTCTTTTGTGTGCCTTAATAAACTCCTAGTTTTCTGCTGATTAAAGGTATAGTTCACCCAAAAATGAAAATTTTGCCATCATTTACTCCCCCTCATGTCATTCCAAACACAAAAGAATATATTTTGAAGAACCGAACAGCAGTTTGAACCATCAACTGTTTGATTACCACCATTCTTCAAAATATCTTCTTTTGTGTTCAACATAAGAAAGAAACTTATACAGGTTTGGAACGACATGTGGGTGAGTAAATGATCAAATTGTCATTTTTTTGGTGAACTATCCTTTTAACAGTTGGTAAGGTAAATGTTAAATTTAGATATGGGGTTTGATTAAGGGATCTAAAATATGGTCATTCATAATAAGGCATTAATATGTGCTTTATAAGAACTAATAAATGGTCAAAATACTAGTACTATGCATGCTAATAACAACCAACTAATTAATAGTGAGAATTGGTCTCTAAACTAAACACTTCACAATAAAGGTTCAGTTTGTTAATGCCTGAGGTATCATGAACTAATAATGAACTATACTTTTATACTATTGATTATAATGATTATAATTGATACTTTTATAATTTCAAAAGTTAATGTTTATTTATAAAAAATATTGTTCATTGTTAAGTCGTTCATTCATAATATTTTATTGTTAAACTTAAAGCTTGTACTATGTAGAAGTATTTTTTTTTAATATGCATGTAGAAATTAACATTACCCAAGATTAATAAAGCTGTAAAATTGTTGTTTTTTAGTTAAGAATTTTAAATGCATTAACTAATGTTTATTTCATTGAAATTTAACCTTATTTTAAAGTCTTATGATTTATTTATTTGATTCAAAAGGCACATAAAACTATTAATATTTTAGTATTATTAACACTGTTTTATTTGTTACACTTACTATTTATTTTTTATGTGAACAGGGCTTTTAAATGACTTAAATCTTATTATTACTAATTACCTTGTGAGTTGGTTAAAATGTCTACAATCCAAAGACAAAAAACAACCTATAGGTATTATTATCAAATGTCTACATTTTCTTCAATGTCACATTGTGCAACAACCTTGAGTGATGAAGAGCATTTTTTTCACCTGCTGCCTTTACAAAACCTCCTTCTGCTTTTCTTGAGTTTGTTAATGCCTGAGGTATCATGGACTAATAATGAACTATACTTTTATACTATTGATTATAATGATTATAATTGATACTTTTATAATTTCAAAAGTTAATGTTTATTTATAAAAAATATTGTTCATTGTTAAGTCATGTTCATTCATAATATTTTATTGTTAAACTTAAAGCTTGTACTATGTAGAAGTATTTTTTTTAAATATGCATGTAGAAATTAACATTACCCAAGATTAATAAAGCTGTAAAATTGTTGTTTTTTAGTTAAGAATTTTAAATGCATTAACTAATGTTTATTTCATTGAAATTTAACCTTATTTTAAAGTCTTATGATTTATTTATTTGATTCAAAAGGCACATAAAACTATTAATATTTTAGTATTATTAACACTGTTTTATTTGTTACACTTACTATTTATTTTTTATGTGAACAGGGCTTTTAAATGACTTAAATCTTATTATTACTAATTACCTTGTGAGTTGGTTAAAATGTCTACAATCCAAAGACAAAAAACAACCTATAGGTATTATTATCAAATGTCTACATTTTCTTCAATGTCACATTGTGCAACAACCTTGAGTGATGAAGAGCATTTTTTTCACCTGCTGCCTTTACAAAACCTCCTTCTGCTTTTCTTGTTGCCAGGCAACCACTCAGGAGTGGTGTTGAGCATAAATTCAAGGGAGCTGCACAGTTACCTGACCAGCTGATGACCAATGTGAAGGTGCCAGTGATGAGCACAACAGACTATGCCTTCCTCCTCTCTCCAGATCTGACCCTTCAGACACCCTTACAGGAGAGAGATCAGACACACACCTGCACCAGACCTGCTCCTCCTCTCTCTATCTTCTCTCTGTCTTTTCCAGCCTCCGTTCCCTCATTCCACGAGGTGGATTTTGTGCCCATCTGCTGCGCCTCGGCTTCACTGATGATCACATACGCACACTTACATTTGTTGGTCTCTGCACCCTGCAGTCTGTCTCATCCCTGTCCACCTTCTCTCTCATCTCTTCTCATTATTACTCTTATCACAGGAGCATGGAATCAGCCCCACCTACTAACTCCCAGGGAGAACCTCATTGACAAATGCTTTATTTTCCATCTTTTGTTAGTTTTGTCTTTCAGTCTGAATAGTGTTTTTGACTCTCTTGTGGTCACTGTAAAACTCAGATTAGACAGATAGGTGAGTGAAGCTGTGCAGATGCGGTGCAGTGCAAGATATGATTCACATTTCATTCAGGGGAAGCAATGTTTGTTAGATATAGCCAAAGGAAAAACACTTAAGAGCTCCTGTCACCCTCTTTTCTTTGTATTGTAAAAAAAAAAAAATTGAGTTGAATTTTTATATGCAATAACACATCTCTTGCTTTAATCAATAACTAAATCTATTATTTTGCCCCGTTTCATGATTATGCTATGCAGTAAAGTCAAGTCATTTTTGTCTGCCTCATCTGATGCTGCAACACATCAGTGATGTTTTTCTTTTACCGTTCCACATCATTAATATCTATAGTGCAATTAGTAACTTTAACGATGATGTAAAACTTATTAAAGGGGTCATATGATGCGATTTCAAGTTTTCCTTTCTCTTTGGAGTGTTACAAGCTCTTGGTGCATAAAGAAGATCTGTAAAGTTGCAAAGACTAAAGTTTCAAATCCAAAGAGATATTCTTTATCAAAGTTAAGAGTCAGCCACGCCTACCTAAAACTGCTCGTTCTAACACGCCCCCACATATCGTCACTATGTGGAAATATTAGCATAATGCCGCCCAAACGTGCACGCAAAGAAAGAAGGCGTGGTTTCAGAAACAGCAGTAGTGTTGATGCAGCCATGTCAGGGAGACGCTGTGTTTCAGTGCGAAAGCAAAAGCATGTAAAAATCGATGCGTTTCAGAAAGGCGGGGCATAGAGGAGAAACAATAATGTACATTATGTGGAAAATAATGTTTTTTTAACCTTAAACCGCATAAACACATTGCATTACACCAAATACACAAAATAATGTTATTTTTAGCTACATCATATGACCCCTTTAACATTGATTTACACTGACCCAAGAAATGCTTTTATTGCAAGCAAATTATGTCAAAAAGGCAGGAGCAAAAAATTATACACCTTTCCAATTACTGCCAAATCAGCACAGCTGGATCCTTCTTGGTGTTCTTGGAAAACCTGCACCAATTATCAGGGCCATCGCTTAAATTTACAAGGCCTGAGATATTGTTTTGTGGGTGTCTTTACGATAGGGCCTGGGATATTGCCCCTTGAGCCTTATTCCTGTCTGTTTTCTCCAAGAACTACAGTGCCAAATTCTCATCTGTGAGATTATAGTCCATTTATCTTCACTGCATAATGAAACGGTATCCCCTAACAAATCAAATCCCATCATTCATCGTGTCGAAATCCTTTGTGAGAGCTAGCTAAATTCATATGCTCGTTTATTTATTGGACTTTAGATTTCCTCACAAGCATCAGCCATCAGATCTTGACAGGGAGTTAACACAGGATGGTACACAGCGTAGCATGTGCTACCTGTCAGGTGTAGTGTGTGTATAAGCCTATATTAGGCGTAGAAGGACGAGGTTACGTTCCCTTTCGTTTGGCTTGTATATATAACAATGTGTACATAGAACCCTCTGTATATAGACCCTCCGAAATATGACACTTTCAATAGACCAAAATGTGCACTGTTTTCTCCCAAATGCATCGCACTGGGTTTTCTTGAATTCAGGAGTTCTACATGGACATGATTTGATCACTTCTACATCTTTGTCTTTATTCAGCGTTGTTTACTGCAGGATATTCTTAATATTTCACACTATCTATAACATTTACACTCACACGACTAAAGAGCTGTGTGAGAAGTGGTGCACGGTGTCTTTGTGTGCATTCTGATTTTTTTGTTTTGTTTTGACATTTTTAGGGTTTAGCTGTTTGAATCGAGGTGTCTGTCTCAATGCACACGTCTCGCTGTTGGAATCACTAGTGTTTTCTGGATGTGAATGGATGAGGGTCTCTCACTTGCACTAATCACAGTTCATGGCTTGTACAGTGTTGTTCGGGTGGGTTTAGGGAACACTTCATTTTCAAGTGAGAAAGACACCGTGTATGTTAAGTCATACTACATGAGAAAGATTCAGTCCGGGAAGTAGGGTGACCATACGTCCTCTTTTTCGCTCACATGTCCTGTCTGGTATTTCTTAATTTTCTTTAAGAGATAGTTCACCCAAAAATGAAAATTAACACAGGTGTATATGACTTTTTTCTTTCAAACGAATACAATAGGAGTTATATTAAAAACGAATCCGAGGATTTGTAAAAAAAAAAAATAAATAAAAAAAAATAAAAATAATAATGTCAGAGGATTTCGATATAAGCCAGGAGGAGACTGGTTTACTGTAAACAAATCTTGGTTTTTGCGAGACTAGCATATTCTCACCGGAGCTTACGCTACGCATACGTCATCTGCTGGAACGCCACTCTCTCATGAACGTGTGTACGACAGTTAACGGAAGCTATAGGAGTTATATTAAAAACGAATCCGAGGATTTGTAAAAAAAAATAAATAAAAAATAAATAAAAATAATAATGTCAGAGGATTTCGATATAAGCCAGGAGGAGACTGGTTTACTGTAAACAAATCTTGGTTTTTGCGAGACTAGCATATTCTCACCGGAGCTTACGCTACGCATACGTCATCTGCTGGAACGCCACTCTCTCATGAACGTGTGTACGACAGTTAACGGAAGCTACAGTTTACAACTTATAAAGTTTTAAACATGGATATTTTTCTTACACAAACGCATTGCTTTGCTTCAAAAGGCATTTATTAACCCCCCAGAGCTGTGTGGAGTCCTTTTTGTTATGGATGGATGCACTTTATTGGACGTCAAAATCTCAACGCCCATTCACTGCCATTATAAAGCTTGGAAGAGTCAGGATATTTTTAATATAACTCCGATTGTATTCATGTGAAAGAAGAAAGTTATATACACCTAGGATTGCTTGAGGGCGAGCAAATCATGGGGTCATTTTCTTTTTTGGGTGATCCATCCCTTTAAATGTCTGTTTTTTTTTTTTTTTTTCATACTTGCTGAAGGTAATGACTGAAAAGTAGGCATTGGACGTAATTGACCAATCGTTTCATGCAAGAAAGTGGGATCTACAGAGAAGAATGAGGACAGTAGAGAGCATGTCAATAGAAAGATAAAGCCAAAACCCAGAAATTTTAGACAATTTAGAAATCCCGGCCAGAGCATGTCCAAAAAAAAAAAAAAAAGCATGTATGGTCACCCTACTGGAAGTCTTGACCAAACTGATAGTTTGCAGGTTCACGGTCTCTTCAACACATTCTGTTGTGGAGCTTGAGCAGATTGTGTCTTTCCAAGTTTGATTCAAACATTGACTATTTTATGGCGGTCTTGAGTCAATAGATTCTTTCAGCATAAACCAAAAAGATGGCATCTCTACATTCACCAGTTTATGCTTATGTATATCAATAATACAAAATTGTTCATTTCTGTACAATGCAAACAGTATGAACTAATTGCACCAGAAGCTGAACTGTCTTTTTTTTTTAAACCTGTATATGTACAGTTATTTAGTAGTGTGTCATTTGTATTTCCATCCATGAAGCGACAATGAGGAAAAGCTTGAGTGTCCCATTAAGAGACGTTTCTGAGTAAGTTTATCTTTAGTGATGGCACACTCCTGCAACGAGGACACTTCGTATATACACACCTGAATCATTTTTGAAATTCAGACTCAAATCTGGTGGAGAGACACAGTTGAACTGAGTCTGTATTTTTATTTTTTGTTCACTTTTTATTTTTTGTTCTTGTTTCTTTATAATGTAAATGTTTTTGACTCCACTGCAACAAGTGAAAAGCACTTAATTAGCGTGTCTGAATTCAAACACACTAACTGTAAAGGTTTGTTTTGTTACTTTGAGCTGTTTAATAAAGTTTTAACATGATTCACGAACCTGATACCTGTTTTCATTTCAGTCTATAGAACAAAACATACATGAAACCGCTGATGGTTGATACTTCCTCTTCACAACTGTAACCTCAATAAAACTAATTTATGTGTGTGATGTGAGAGTCAGAACTGAACCAAAATCAGATTTGATGACATTTAGCAAGTGTTTGCATTTTAATCACTGCAGTGAAGAACAAACTACAAGAGTTAAATAAAATACAGGTTGGTTATTTTTTTTATTTTTTTAAGAACAAAATGTGAAGCATGTTAAATTAGTCCAAACATGTACTTAATAATGAGAATATCTTAAATATTGTCAATACAGGTGCTCAGTAGTCAGCACTATAATCTGTAAGGCACTTTTTAAGACTTGCAACCCTGAATTAAAGTGTAAGATTTCTGCAGGTGCAGGGTCCTTTCTATTTTCAGTCATTCATTTTCTTCTGTGGTACATGCAAAAAACACTCTACTTGAACTTCATAGTGCACATATTTGAACATTAGTGAGGTTCATAATATCATGAGAAAGAGTGAACGCCCCCTCACTAAACACAACTGTTTTGCAACTGTACAAACCTATTGCATAATTCCACTGGATTCTCAACAACAATATAAATGCTTAGAAATTAAAAAAAAAAAAAACTACTCTTTTAGGTGCAAATAAAAAAAAATTGTAAACTAAAGAAAATAAGTTTGTCTCATGAAAACATTTTTGAAATGCATAAGTAGATGCTTTGGGTGCTGACATTTGTTTCAGTGCATAGATTCAAAGCTTTGGGATCAACATCGGTCCTTTGGCTTGTAACAGTCTTGAGGACTTTCCACACAAGCCTCAGGTCCCTGCTCTTGACCATTACTGCTACTTAAATTAGCATAGCATTGCAATGTAACATTAAAACAATACTAAATAACTAGGCTACATATTAATCACATCCAACTTACAAACAAACAATCAAATTTTAAAGCAATATACTGGATTGTGTTAATCTTACTGAACTAATGTGCAACATATGCACAAAATACACGGTCTCTTGGTTGGTAGGAAAGGTGAAGGGAAAACCCGGCACACATAAATTATTCTGGATCACAAATCAACAACAACAGCAACATACAGTATTTAAAATAATAACGATAATTGTAACACTGCAAAACGTCTGCTCATGTTAGTGGTTAAGTGACGAAAACAGGCAAGAAAAGGCACTTTCAGTAACAGGTCTTAACAGTGTAGTATAGCTTTAAGAGTAAGACAAGACAAATACACAAGTATATGTGTAATTGCATTGTAATAATTCCCTTAGTTTCATTTTTATCGGCAGCTTCAGATTAGCTTTGGCTTTATTTTTGTCCTCCTGGGATCATTTGATCAGATTAAAAAAATGCTTTAAAACATTCCCATGTTTGTATTTTTGTATTAAAATCAATTTTTATCAAAATGTTTTTGATTTAGGTTATACATAATGTTCAATGTTCTGTTGCCACCCACATCACAGTTTTACTTGAGTGATCTACCAGTTGACTGAATCATTCAAAAGAACTGGTTAAAAAGAATAATTCATTTGCAAATCACTAATTTAAGCCCCTTCAAAGTAACGATTC